AAATCTAGATTTGGATTTAATTATCGCTAGTAGCATTCCTTAATTATTATAGATTTTATTTAAAGAAGAAAAGAGGATGTTAAAAAAGGGCCGATTTTCGCTTAAAAGGGTGTAAGTAAAAAGAATAGTGATAGATGTTGATTTCTTAAATACGATAAAGCTATTAAAAAATTTGTGGCGCTTGGGGAACACCTTGAAAACTGAGTATAAACGTAAAAATTTGGATGATATATGCTACGTTATATCGCATAAAAGATGAATTATGTTTATAAAAATGAAAAAATATGTAAAATGTATTCAATATCGTAGAATACGTATGTTGTAAACGTATATTTAGTACAGTACAAAGAGTGATAAGACTATAACTGATCATCGGCAATCAGTCGAATCGAGTCGCAGCGAGCACTTGCGATATAACGTATTATCACTCTTTGTACTAAATATACGTTTACAACATACGTATCCTACAATATTAGACACATTTGACATATTTTTTCATTTTTATAAACATAAATTCATCTTTTATGCGATATAACGTAGCATACATCATCCGAATTTCTGTAAATACACCATGTTTATGCTCAATTTTCAAGGTATTCCCCAAGCGCCACAAACTTTTTAATAGCTTTATCGTATTCAGGAGATCAAAATCTACAAAAAAACATTATTCCTTTTACTTACACCTTTTTAGGAGAAAATCAGCCTTTTTTTATTAACATCCTCCTTTAATTCATAAATAAGACAATTAATTTGTAGATTAAACAGGTGAAATATCCTTCATTCTACATATAAATATGTGTAAATATGTGTACATATGAATGTGTGTTTTAATTGATAGAAGAAATTGAAATTAAATTACAATAAATGAGATTACATATAATTTAAGATTTAAGTAATTATTAAAGTTAAGTTGTAGTTTAAATTTTTAGTTCTAAATTTTATTGTTTAACACTAAATGACGAGATTGTTGTTTATAGATTGATGAAAATGATGTGTTTATAAAGGAAAACATTTTTCCATATTGCGAGAGTACCATTAATGTGGATTATTGCAAGACGATCGCTTCTAAGTGCGTAGAAAAAGGTAATCAACATATTTTTAAGAATAAAGTTTATTTGTAATAAAATATCTTAAAATTATATAAAATTTTGAATTAAAATAAAATAATTTTCTGTTTTCTTTTTAATTATAGCAAATCTATTAGACTCAGGATCTAACGTTCAAAAAAGCCTAGGTGTAGTAAAATGTTACTTAAAGAGCGGTTTAGTGGATTTGAATGAAGGATCGAATGAAGGAACGAATAAAGGAACGAATGAAGGAACGAATAATGGAAGGAATGAAGGAACGAATGAAGGAACGAATGAAGGAACGAATGGAGGAACGAATGAAGGAATGAATGGGGGAACGAATGAAGGGACGGATGAAGGAACGAATAAAGGAACGAACATAGGAACGAATGAAGGAACGAATGGAGGAACGAATGATGGAACGAATGAAGGGACGAATGAAGAAACGGATGAAGGAACGAATGAAGGATCGAATGAAGGAACGAATAAAGGAAGGAATGCAGGAACAAATAAAGGAACGAATGAAGGATCGAATGAAGGAACGTATGAAGGAACGAATGAAGGAACGAATAAAGGAACAAATGATTGAGAAAACGCATAAAGAAATATTTGTCAAAAGCATCGGTGCAACTATATTGATCATTTTTATTTTACCGCAATATTCTCTATGTATAAAATAATTATCTATTTCTTATACTACATTTACGACGAGCGTTACTTCTGTAGTAACTTACGATAATTCCTTCGCGTAAACAGAATTTTCCTTCGTGTAAACGGGATTTTGTAGTACCTTACGATAATTTACTCCGCGTAAACGAGTGAATTATCGTAAGTTACTACAGAAGTAACGCTCGCGTAAACGTAGTACTTAGTAATTCTATATAATTATCAGCTAAATTAGAATCAATGTATTGTTCTAACAATAAATTATCATGCATATAATAGTGTCTACTTTTTTCAGAGCATTTTTCTGAAATCTTACTTTTAATGTTAACGATAAGTAGATAACATTATTCTTAATTAGTTATTGGTAAAATAAATAGAATCTGTTCAAGTTAAATTTTTTATGAACACTAACCAATCTAATTATAAGTAAATTACTTTGAATATATTAAAATATATAAAGTCTTTCTATGCTCTCTCTTTATATTTTATATTTTTACCTCACATGTTATCTTGCAATTGTACATATCGTGTAATATTATATGATTAAACGAACTTACCTGTAAGTGAAGTTCTATCATAATTGTATGAAGCGCCTCTTCCGAAGAGATCATATGGTAGTAGCCCCTACTATGTACCGATGTACCACAGTTTTAAAGTTCTAAAACTTTCCGCTAGGGTTAGCTTCCCGTTCCGTTGGTCATTTATTTAAAGTGCTGCCGTAATATCTAGGGTTCTAATAATATTAGAATTGGATATATACTGGGTGGGACCGATCTCTTCGGAAGAGGCGCTTCATACAATTATGATAGAACTTTACTTACAGGTAAGTTCGTTTAATCATATAATTGTATTGCGCGCCTCTTCCTCGAGATCATATGGTAGCTGTTTAAAGTTATTACGGCAGATAGATTATGCCTGAGATTCCGTGAAAAGGACAACAAAATTTTATACATTTACAATTTTTAACCGCATTTAGCGTATATCCACTTAACCAAAGGATTTAAACACAAGGACAATTAAATCCTTAATTTGTATACCTAAGGATAGATTTAGCGATATATTTATATATTTTAATTATATATAATATATATTTCAATTATTATTAAAATTATCCTGCGCACCATTTACTGCGCCCGGCTCTAATTGGTTTTTTTTTTTTTTAAGCTTTGCAAAACATTTTCGACCACTTTGCCGCCTTTCTAACAACGTCTATGGTGACGTCACTTCGCTTATCGGTCGAAATTGAAGCATGGCGGGTGCTATATGCACTGGTCACATCTGTGTCAATTCTACTTACGTTGTCAAACAGCGTTACTACTATTAAGATAGTTTTTCAACCGTTATGACTTCATATCACCTCAGCGCCATGATCCAATACAATACAATCCTGGGATCCTCAGAATCATATTTTGGCCAGTGGCATGCTAGGATGCAGCTTTCTAACTTATCTTCATTCTCGCATCTTGTGTGCAATAGACCTTAGACCAGAACTTGAGATTAACCTCCAAGGCGTTTGTTGGTGTACCTATATATATATATGCAACCTGTTCACTAAATAAGTTCTTCTGAGAGGTGGCGAATAAAGGTCGATGATTTCTGGTCAAACTTGAACTCAGATCTTTGGCTCATTAGAGCAGCGCACATCTTTCTGTGCTATGATCACCACCACCTCTGGATTTTATAATAATAAGACTTATCCAAGATTATTATGTACAACTATCAGACACGTCCATAAGAGGCTTTACTTTCTTGAAACCTTTTAATCAAGAGCTCCATCCGTGAAGAAAACGTGATGTCTGTCGTCTCTTAGTTCGGACGCTTCTTTGGCAGCGTCCCGACAATCAGGATAATCCTCTTCCAGAGAGGATATGACTTCCTGTCAAGGAACCACAGAAAATATTTACTCGGTTCTAAATAAAACGAATCAGAATCCAAGATTATTAAGTACACTGGGCCTCATGCCCGAACCGGCCACTTAGGGGCCACTTCAATATTTCTCGAACCTTCCAATTTCACTTTTTTTTTTTTTTTAAGTATAGTCGCGAACGAAGAAGTTGCGTAAAAATTAAAATTGTTTCCAGAAATAAGTAAACGCGTTAATAACTAACGCTTCTCAATCGCTTATCCACGAGATATGACGCAAACATTTGGAATTGGTTCGAGATGCAAATAAGTTGATGTTCGGTTTACAAAACCTCTGTACTATCGTCGAAAAGAAACCGTATTTGATAACACAAA